ATGGTATGGAGGTGTATTAGTCAGCCTCTGATGGTATGGAGGTGTATTAGTCAGCCTCTGATGGTATGGGGTGTATTAACCAGCCTCTCTGATGGTATGGGGGTGTATTAGTCAGTCTCTGATGGTATGGGGTGTATTAACCAGCCTCTCTGATGGTATGGGGTGTATTGACCAGATTTGATTATAGGTTGAAAATGCTTTCCAAATCATCATGTTCTGTTTTTATTTATGTTTTACTCAGTAGTCCAACTTCATTAGAATTAGGGTTGTAGTTTATAAAATGTATACAAAAACTTAACCACTCATCAAAAGATTAGTTCTGCTAATACCAGGTTAAGGTGGGCAGAACTGTGCCCACCACTGCTGGAGTCTCATTTTAATTATAATGAATGAACACACAAAGAAACAGATTCTCAGAAAAACTTGGAACATAGTGTGAACATAGACTAAAACTCTAGCATAAAGACTGTGAGCGATACGCTGTTGTTGTTGTTGTTGTTGTTGTTGTTGTTGTTGTTGTTGTTGTTGTTGTTTAATTATGACCTAAGGGACAGTAGAATATCCCAGAATAAGATTTGAGGACTAGTTTTCATCTGGAATCCCTCAGAGTACCATCGTATAAATACAATACAAACAAGTTAATAAAACTCTGACACAAAATAATAGTTAGAAACATATTTAATATGTTTAAAAATAATAACAAGCCATATAGCACACTAATAATAATTAATTACAAAACAAAACAATATGTTAAAATGCAGAATGGATAAAAAAATTCAGTGTCTCACTGATTATCCAGCAGCCATGATTTAAAGGTTTTAGAATAATTTTAGAAACCTGTTCTTCTGTTTTCTAGTATTTTATTTCAGTCAGTAGAAGCTTTTACTGGATCTACATTCCTTCGTTTATAAAGTGAATCTTTATATTTTTGTTTGTCTGCTTCAGGAGGCGCAGGGAGAAGCTCCAGGCTCACCTGAAGGAGAGTCGCAGTCTGAAAAACTACACAGCAAACGCCAACAATCCCCTTGAAGCCAAGATGAGGATTCCTAACACCAGCCTGCACATGCATGAGGTGACTGCTGATGTGTGTTTTCTTCTTTTCTTTTACTTTTCTTTGCTGTTTGAAAGTCTCACACATTCCTAAAGAGCATGGATATTGTGGATAATTGCTCTCAAACTATTTCACCGTTCCACCCCCACCTCCTCTAACAAACAACAGAAGAAATGAAGACAAAACTACATAAAAACTGAAAAAATATGAATAAAATTAGCAATGCACTTCCTGACCCAAACAATGCGTCCCGCTGGTTTTAACTAAGCTCTATGACGTGGGGCTGCTGCAGGTCCAGGTTCAGCAACACTCTGTGCTCAAAGAACGAGGCCAGATTCCAACTTCCTGTCAAAGTTAAATGTATCTAACTGGTACTTATTATAACTACATCTTGATGTTTGGTTGACTTCTTCAGTAAAAAACAACCCTGTCAGTAAAATATCTCATGAACCAGTGAACACATTTAATACTCTCAGAACGTAATGGTTAACTTTTGAAATCAACAGATTCATGATGGCCACTTTAGCAAACAAATCTGATTATAACCTGCAGAAACTGAGCCTCAGTGCACAGTGACATGTAGAACACCTTCAATACATGAAGAAGAACAATACTTTTAGTACTCTGTGTTGTGTTACTGATAGCTCTGGTTTATTTAACCTTAGCTCAGATTTATGCATTGGAATCTAAGTTCATATCTGTGTTTCAGAAGGTCACTTCTGAAACACAGGAATTGACACAGAACTTATAGTTGATTTGGTTTTATTCCAAAAGGGAATATTTAAAAACTATTTACAAAGGGATGAATTAAGAGTATGATGGTTGTAGAAATTTATGGGGATAAGAGTAAGTGATGAAATACTGTAAGGTCTAAAATATAGATTTATCTTTTAGATAGCTGGTCTCTCAATAAAAATTTTGGAACAAAGTTTATTTTTCTTCTTCCATGGGAGGACAAGTCGAAAGTGGGACCTCTGTTCTGGATATATATATATATAT